TTAAGATATTTTGTGACAATAAATCAGCAGTGTTGTATTCCAATAACAACAGGAGCTCGACAAAGTCAAAACACATAGAGATCAAGTTTCTTGCTGTTAAAGAAAGAGTTCAGAGTGGACAGGTGTCAATAGAGCATATTGGGACAAACTCCATGGTTGCGGATCCGTTTACTAAGGGATTGATACCCAAGGTCTTTCATGAGCACACTGCTCATATGGGTGTAATGTCTCTTGAGGATATCTAGTTTCGGTGGGAGTTTGAATTTTTGCTTTGGACACATGTACTGTTATTTTGGATACGGTTTAAAGTTAAAGTTATTTACAGTTATAAAGTTATTTGGTTAATTATCTCTGAACTTGTTTAAAATGATCTCATTAAGATATTAAGGTGGACCAGTTGGAAATAGGCATGTTACAGATCACATTACATGTAATTTCCATGCTACACATCCATGCTTGATCCATGCCATTCGGTTGTATTGATATATGTGACCATTGATGGGTTTAGCTACGTGAAAGTAGCGAAAGCCGCTTTGATCCTATGTTGATATGATTGATGGACGAGATTATTTGGGGATACATTCAGTAATGATAGCAAAATTCTGAGTACTCATAAGGTTATTTTAATGCACAATTATAAGGTGACACATATAGCCCAAGTGGGAGATTGTAAGGATTTTTAATTAAAGATGGGCTTGTATGTGTAAATAATTGTGTGTTAAATTATAGGCTATCGAATTCGGTTGAGCCCATTTAAAGTGATCTAATAAGGTTTCAGTTTTGGGCTTTAATGTATTCAATTAAAGTATGGGTTTACATATGTGTAGAGACCGGGCCCAAGTCCTAATTCTATGATGGGCCGAATTAGGTCAAAGAGCATCCCTATATAAATAGGTTATGGTCCCCAGATCACACACAAGAAAACGAATTATTCATTCTTTACTGCATCCCATCACAGAGAGGAAAATGAGACTGCGTGTAGATGAAGATCATACCGCGAAATTCATATTGCATTAATCATGTCTGATTCAGGTATGCTTCCGCTTTAATTCTTATATTTCTCGATGATTTAACATGAAAGATCCAGTAATTTAAAGCATTAAATTATCCAACACAACATTCTTGGATTCTTTCGCAGAAGAAATTACTAACTTATTTGGCTTATTTAAACCCACAAGCCATGAGCTTATTTGCCAAACACCGCTAAAAATATTTTTACCAGCACTCATATAACTTAATATCAACACAAAGTCTGAAATACACTTCCCCTTCGAATGCATCTGTGCGCAAAGTGGCAATCCCTCTAGTCATGAAAAAATCACCGGTTCCACCAATGACAGAAACGTCCCTGGTCTTGTTCATCAACGGATCGGCCCCGGCAAAATTTATACTACCCTTGTGTTCAGTAGAATTGAAAACAAATGAAAACCCTAGCCATGCAGTGAATATATCTTTCTTGTCATAAAAATAGAATCCTTGTGCTCGGCCAACTGGGGTTGAATGGAGATTGTTATCTAGCGTAATCGGATCATCAAACACCACCATGTTGCCAAAATGGTTTTTGCCAGTTAAAATGGTTCTGTTTCCCCATGCTGGTGACCCTACGATTGCTGCAGTTGCATTCTTGGAATTATGGCCGTTGTAAAGAATGTCGTGGAAGTAAAACACCATTCTTTTACACGGCTGCGGATGAGCCCGGATTTTCGAGATTGGTGTGGCCGAGCAATCAAGGACGAGGACGAGAAGAATGACAAGTGAAGGGAAACTCTTAGCTCCTCCCATTTTTAGCCTAGTTGAGTGTGTGGAGGTTGGCACATATTCTAGTTTCTTTATATAGAGGTTTTTTTGGAGGTAGTTATTTGAAAATTAAAAATGGGTAATCAGATCCACAAGTGAACATAATGCTTGACTTTTAAGGCATCTTAAGATGAGCTTGAAAATGTTTGAAAATAATTTTATAACGTGTGATTGTTGGTGCTTTGGGCTTAACTTGAAGTCTAAGATTAACCTAATAATTAAAATTCTTTAAACAAAATACACACACACACACACACATAGTTGTATAGAATTCTGTCTGAATTTAGATTTTGATTGGTTTTTTAGTATGATTAGAATCATTTACCTATCAGAATAAGAAAGAAAAACGTAGTATGAAATTCATTTGATTGTTCGATATATATAACCTTAGTCGATGAATATTCTATTTCTTTGTGCTACTCACTACAAAACTTGATAAGGTGTATTTTATTTGTTAGGTAACCGAGTCCATCAATTATCATGAAAGTAGTGAATTTTCTTGCATCTGAATTGGTTGTACAATTAGTTAAGATACGACACCAAATTGGCAAAATTTGGATTAGTTAGGCCAACTCTAGCCCACATCCCAATGTCTACCAACCAAAAATTTGGGCTTTGCTTACATTTTGATTCATCCTAATATGGGTATTAACCTACAGAGCCGCTATTTATTAGAGGTGAACAAAATTCGATTTCAACAATTTGGGACAAATTTTTAAATCAAATCAAATCACTTCAATTTTTAAATAAAACCAATACAAACTACATTTTTCGGTTTGGTTCCATTTAAAACCATGGTTTATACACACACACACACACATATGTACACATATGTATATATATATGTATGTGTGTATGTGTATACACACACACACATATGTATATATATTATAATCATTATAATACAATAGCATGATACAAACATTTTTAACAATTCAGTCGATACAAATTGGTGAAACATCTGCAATTACAACACGTGATGTATTTCCTCCATGAATATAAGAATATAGTGCATGAATTCATATATTATAGTTAAATGAAACAAAACTACTAATAAAAGAAAATGAATTAGAAAAATCAAATATAATAATACTTTCTGGAACTTTTTGTGAATCATTCAATTCTTGTACCTTATCTAAATATTGACGAATCACTATAGGTTCTTTTTTACCATGCAACCTATTTTTAAGGCGAATCTTGATAAATAATAATCAAAAGTAAAAGCCATTCCGAATATTCACACCCAAGTTCCATAGGCGAACAACTCAAATCTTGGAACATACTACAGCCCAAGGTGGCGAAGAGCCAACATCGAGGTGCCAAACCTTCCCTTCAATGTGAGCAATTTGGTTATTGGGGAAAGATCAATTTACTTTTAATGTCGAATTAGGATCAACTAGGACATAAGTAAAGCATTGGGTCGAACTCCACGGAGGGTAAGTCAGGGCCTAAGATAAGGCCGAAAGAGGTAATCGATGGACAATAGGTGAATATTCCTATACTATCCCTTGTTGGTCCTGAGGGATGGAGAAGGCTTGAACTCCGAAAGTAATCACAAATTCGACCACTTAAAAAGAATGCAGACTCACAAATAACTGGATATTTGAATAGTTAACACATCTTTAGCAATTTGGAAGATCATCTTGTATTAATTTGTATTTAATTTTCACTAAAGTAATATGTCGAAAGGTTCATTGGTCAAATTTTCAAAAGAACTATTTAAGTAATTTACCAAATCATTCTAGTAATTAACAATACAATCTAGAAATCAAATTGAAATATAAATAATTAATTGAGACTAACCAAGAAACTGATATGCAAATAAACAAAAAAAATATTGTCCACTAAAAAATTTAATGGCGTCTGATGCAAATTAGAACAAAACAATACAACTACTAATAAAATATAGCGAACAATTACCAAAAAATATAAGAAATTTTGGATAATCTAACTTAGATATTTAGTCGAAATTCGAGAAAATTATTAGTAAAAGAAAAATAAATGTGATAATTTGAATTAAAATCTAAATTTAATTGTTCACTCAATTATAATGGATGATCGATGAATTTGGTTTAGCAATATTTGTTCAATGCCTCAACCAATTGGAGGATTTTGCATTCACAGTTGTGATTATTGATGGATATTTGGATATGATTTAATTAATTACTTGGGATTGATAATTATCTATTTAAGTATTTGAGATTAATTGGGTAATATTTAACATGAATGTATCTGGATATGTTTAGTTTCATTTGGGCTGGATAAAATTTAAATTAATTTATTTTCAATTTTTTAAACGGTTTGTAAAGATTGAAACCTAAATCAAACCATTTCGAAGTGATTTTGTTCTGTTCAAAATCAAAACGTTAACGGATCCACGTAGATCCAAATCAACGATTTCCAAACAGCCACTTCGATCTGATTTGACAGTTTGGTTATTCAGCCCTACTATTTACATCTAACATTATTATATATCTATCACTAATAATATTTTAAATTTTTTAAAAGACACTATTTTCACCCACATCATATTCCAATATTATCCTTATTAAATTCATTCATTTAAATACCATACATGTAGAGGCGGAGCCACATACGGGCAAGGTTGGCCAATTTCTTTTTTTTTTTTTCTAAATTATAAAAAAAAGAAAAAGAAAAGAAAGAATCATCGAAGGACACAACAACTACGAAAAAAAAATCACTGAGGGGTATGGCAATTTTCTCCCATCCTCCCTCCTCTCTTTCTCAAATATAGCGTTTTTGTTCTTTCTCCTGTATCTTCTAATTCTCATCTTCTATTAGAGGTAAAATGATTTTTCTATGACCTTTTTTGCAATTATTTTTTCACTATTTTTGAGCTTATGAATCGACTAGAATTCAGACTCTGGTTGTTTCTGCTGTTGCTTGTGTGTGTGTCAAGGAAAAAGAGGTAAATCACATAATTTATTGACCTTGATAGTAAGATTTGACTTTGCATTTGGTCTCCATCTCATAAAAAGGATCTTCGAAATCTAAAATGAATTGTCAAAGGTATTACAAAGGAAAAATCAAGATATTATCAATGCCATGAGATTAGTTAAAATTTGTAAAGAACAACTCCAAACAATAAGGGACAATAGATGGAACTCATTTTTTTGAAAATGTTTGTTCTTTTTGTTAAAAGTATCATATTGATGTTCCTAACATGGATGCTACATATATAATTCTAGGTCATTCACGGCGTAACACTCCAAAAATGACAACTTTACATCACTTATGTGTGGATTACTTTTATGCTGTTATTGATATGCAACTTCAAAACTTGAATGATCGTTTTTCTGAAGTAAATAGTGAATTATGCCCTTGTATAGCATCTTTGTGTCCAAATGATTATTTTTTGCTTTAGACAAGAACAAATTAGGCTTTATTTGATTCTCATTTTTATCAAAATATATTTTTCCTCCCTCTTCTTTTCAACCACATATTCTTTATTAAAATAATATTACACATAAATTGAAAATTTTTCCTTACTTTTCATCTATATATTCTTCATCAATCTATTATTCTAAAATTCATTTTTCTATAAAAATGGGGCTCAAACACCCTCTTAATTCAATTTGGTGAGTATTATCCTAAAGATTTATCACTAATAGATCTTTCCACACTTGATGATCAATTTGAAACATATATTCTTGATATGTGCACGGATGAAAAATTTAGAGGATTACAGGGTCTTAGTGATCATGTAAAGAAGCTTTTTTGTGACGAAGAAAAATAAAATGCATCTATTGCTATATATAGGCTTGTGACATTGACAAGGATTCTTCCAATTGTTATTGCTACTATTGAGAGGGTATTTTCTGTGATGAATCTTGTCAGACTCAATTGTGCAATCGAATTGGAGATCTGTGGTTGAATGGTAGTTTAGTTGTATATATTGAAAATGATATATTTAACAAAATTGATAATGATTTAATATGAATTTTTTACAATATGAAAACAGATTGAGAAAATTTATAATAAAGTAACGTTACTGTGTTATATTATTTATAATTTTTGCCCACCCAAACAATATATCCTGGCTCCGCCCTTGTATACATCCACACAATTGTATATATTTATCACACTAAATAAATCTATTCCCATTACAATTTCAAAATTTTCAAAAAAAATACTATATTCATACCCGTACATATAACCTTCTCACAATTCAATAATTTGTTCTATAGACGGAAAATTATAAGATGGGAATAGTTTCTTTTTGATAATGCTCAAATTAAAGTCAAAAAATTCTGGTAGATGTTCAAATGAATCAAATCCAATATCAAACAGAGGTCCTTGTTCCGACTTATCGTCAAGACAGTGAAGCCAGACGGTGTCGTGCGCGTCCTTGAGGAAGATCATGTCATAATGGGAACTCTCATAAATATCAAAATTTATCAGATTTGCAGAAGATTGGTGCTTGTCTTCTTCCCTCTCACTTACAGAAGACTTACCAATACGATTTCCACTATCTACAATGGAACCATTATCACTGACGGGTGGGCTTCCATTTCCAGTTAAAAGGTGACCTGATTGGCTTTTCCTTTTGGTGGATGGAATGCTTTGAGGAAAAAGGTCTGAGCCCGTAAGAGGACAAACACTATTGGTGCCATTTTTTATATCATGCAATAGAATGGGAATATCTTTAAGATTGTTGAGCGTGGCAGAATCCACAATTTTTCCCCTATTATGTGGGCAGTATCACGTTTATTTGAAGATGATATTTTATTAATATTAGGGTTTTAATTAAACATAAAGATTAGTGGATGAATTTTGATTGATATATTTTTATGTAATTTAACCCCTCTTTGGTACCGCTTAAAAATCTGATTAAAATTTAAGTCAAAGTTAATTATTAATTTTAATCGCATGTTTCATAGGATTTACAACTTTTAATCACATGTCTCATCAATTTTTATCTAATTTTACTAAAAATCTGATTTTAATCTCTATCAAATAAGGACTTAAT